ATGTCTAACTGAAAAAATGTAGAGCCAAATATATGTGTTGTCAGTCCTCCAGAGGTCGTGCATCATGCATGAGCTGATCAGTTGTAGGGTCAACTGCAGTCTGCAATGCAACTGAGTCTATAGCGCTTATCTTATCCTTTATACTCCTTACTCCTTAGTCCTAATTTTGACAGCGAACTTGATAGCCAATACTGATATTCGCGACCAAATCCACTCACGCACATATACATTACTATATAGTTAGAAACACAAAAGAAGCGCGGTGTTTAAAATGAAAAAAATTAAAATATGAGTTATGTTTCCTGGTGTGATTCACTTTGTTTCTAACGTGTATTCTGCATGAGGGGCGATCTGAGCGATCAAGCAGTCGTACATGGACGGAGGTCCGGTTATTTTAGGGGACCCCAATTCCATGGTGGCAGAGGTGGAAAATGTTGAAAATTGTCTGAAATGGCTTTCCCAGAACCTGCACGACCTATTTCGTTAGGCCTTTTCATTGATTATTTCGTGATCAGAGCCTATGCTATCCGTGGACCGTGGGCATGAGTCAGCTGGGATGGATTATTATTGTGAATTGACCGACTAGTGCAATTTCAAATATCGACTTGCAGCGGTGCTGATCGGAACTGAGAAAATTGAATGACACACAATGGCAATGCTCGTGTAAAAAATCGTTCTAGAAACTGATCGATGTTAACGCTAACATCGTCGCTAACACAATTGATGGGTAATGTTGTGTGATGCGCATGATCGTTGACCACAACTAGATTTTACATCATGTGATTTATAAATAGAATACTAAATATATATTTATGACCGAGGCCCAGAAAGCTGTCAGTCCGCCAATCAGGGTTTATTTTAACGTGCAGTTCTACACAAAATGTGCAGTTCTAAACCAATTTGTGCAGTTCTTAAAAAACAAATGTGCAGTCACCAAACTAGAAAAAATAGCCTTAATTAAAACAGTCTTCTCATTTACTCGTTTATACCCTTGTGGATGCTCCAGAAATTTCCAGAAAAGCTGTCATTAATTGAGCATCAAAAATATAAATCTCAAATGCAAATTTAAGGTTGTTATATATTGAATAACCATGATCCCCAGTTACATGTTTTGAAACAGTTTTCGTGAGTGGTTGGGTAAATCTTTACCAGAACTTAAGGGCCTCTAGATTCAAATTGTTTTGGGGAACACTTCCAGAGGCTCCCGCACCCAAAATCGAATTGGTCTGGCCTTTCTCCAATTCGCCCACCCAACCACACCATTCTGTCACCTATATGCGGGTAAAACCTTCCCCCCCTCCCCTCAGTCAAACACCCGTTGCTTTCGTAACATCCCTATGTGTGTAGTTCTAAATTTTTCTTAAAATAAACCCTGCCGCCAATTAGACTCAAACGTACAGACGGTGCAGTTTTTTATCTCAATTTCGGAACCATTATTACTCACATGAGAAAATATTTTGTGAAAACTATGAAATGTTATATACTTGTCTTGAGCTCGTCAACACTATAGTCTAGTATACGGCAACTGAAAACAGTGTTAATAAATGTGTGAAAGCAATTGACTTTCATCAGTCAATTCGTGAGGATAAATACTGAATAGGCCACTTAATCCAGGCTTTAACCCTTGTGTAAACATTTCGTTGTTTCGTGCGGCGCACCGCCCGCATGTGGATAATCGCATAATATAATTTAAGTCCGTTGTTCGGCGGCATGCTACGATTTTAGTCGGCTTATACGTAAAGCCCATTTTCCACTTGGCGAATTTGTTCGCGCGAACAGTGAAAAAGTAGGAACTGATCCAACTTTTTAGCTGACCAAACACATGGCCAAGAGTTGTTTTTCGCTTTGTTCGCGCGAACACTGAAAAGTGGAAAATAGTGGAAAATGGGCTTAAGTCTGGCGCACATGCACGATGCGATTTAATTCGGTATATGCCGCGTAAGTACATATCAGATGTCTGATAATAAATTGAGCGAAGCGAAAATTAACGAAAATCAATGAAAATTATCAAACCATGTGATTACAGCCTAGAATCTAGTTGGTTATTTGGCGAATTCTCTCCATTCCATGCAGACTGATAAAAATATAACAATTTTCTGAGGGAGCCCCCAGACTCCCCTATATTTTCTACGATGACACCCCATAGTCCAACTCAGTGCTCAAAAACCTTTCTGAACTTTATTTCCATTCAGTTAAACACTTGCCGTCTTGGCCACTTGCCCTCTTCGCCTCTTGCCCTCTTCCCCACTTGCCCTCTTCCCCACTTGCCCTCTTCCCCACTTGCCCTCTTCCCCACTTGCCCTCTTCCCCACTTGCCCTCTTGTAGTTCCGGCGTCCCCATATACAATGGGGGATGTAGCGTACTAAACTTTAATGATTAGTTGAAGGTTGTTTAGGACGTGATTCATTCATACTATATTTTCACGATTTTGCGATTTGTCCATGCAGTTTTATAGCTCGTTTCTTTATTCTGTATTTTTAATACTTTGTTAATTTCCCTTCTCCTCATTCGAGAATGACCAAACTGAACGAAGATGACCGGAACTATATAGAGTAAACCGACCTTACATAGTAGCTACATTGAATTTGCATGCATGGCGAAGTTTAGTGAAGAACGATTCATGAAAGTATCTTGGAACTTATAGTACGCCGTTTACGTCACGGTGGTTGCTGGCTCACGATTCAAGGCACTTCACTCGTGGGACTGCGTTTTTTGAATATATTTATTAAGCTGGCACAAATATTTACACTTGTTTAGTGCACATCGTTTACAATGTCAGAAATTACCCGAATTTAACAATTGCGCATCCGACAACCATTCTGATTCATTCACTTGAACAAACTTTGCGATTCACGCTCTCCGCGAGCAACTTTTTATTCGCAGCATGACACATAGCAACACTCATGCATGCACACCCACGTTTCAGCCCATATTTATACTGGCAAAACAGAAACTGACATATTTTCTCTATCACAAATTTCCCTTGCGCAAGTGAAACACGTTTACAGATATTTTGTTCCTATTTTGTGGTCTTTATAATCTAATTATAATTTTCCACACCATCCCAGGTGATGTCCGTGTGACGTTCGTATTTGTGTTCCATTGCCATGCAAAATTTATTATATATGATTACAAATAATCAGTTTCAACAGAGAACCTGACATAGACATTACACACACAATATATACAGACATTTTACAGTACACATGTTTAATTTTACAGTACACAAGTAGTAACCAAGGTAGTAATAATATTTAATCAGGAAACGTTTCAAAGCATTCTCAAAATATGGGTTTTGAAACTACATTTTCATACTGCATGAGTAAGCGTACGTGTATACCAAAGTTATTGCATGTTTTTACTAGAGTAGGCGTTCTAAAAAGTTCAAGTATGGTCTTGACGTCCAAGCTACGGATTATCAAATTTGTGGTTGATCCCACATTTGTGCATGGGAGGGGATTAAAGAAATCAAATCGTACGTGGGTGGGTAATGCGGCAACACGTAGGAATATGTGGATTAACCAAGGTTTTACAATATTCTTTTCTACAAATTTCTACTTCAATATTCCTTTGGCGTAGTTTAGAAGTGTTCCAGCTACATATAGTGCGCGCGTCATTACCTATTCGAACCCCCCTCCGCACATAGCGAAGGTCGTTAATTATCCTATTGATCTCCATCGGGAGCCTTCCAGCTATACAGGATGTATAAAAAAAACTGAACAGATTTGAAATTGCTCTCAATTTCGCAAAACAGCTATTAGTATCCAGTTTTTGATATATACAGCTTCTTTGGGTACTTATAATGTAGAATAATAAAAAAATTTCTCGAACTCAAATTTTGTAAACCAGGGGGTGGGGTGTCTTTTCCCACAAACTAAAAATGGCTGGCGCACGAGATTGAGTTTTTATCGTATTTTGAGTTAATGGGTAACAAATGTGTTGGGTGTTTAATTGCTGCACGAAATTTCAGACACTTTGCTTCAGTTTAACTGATTAAGCCGTATAACTATATTCACGCATTTTTTCCTAAAAGTCTCATTTGCATGCTTAATTATGCCTTTGCCTGATTTGCATATCGCGGCAATATGCAAATTAGATAAAGCAAATTGTCTGAAATTTTGTAGAGTAATTAAAAACCCAACAAATTTCCAATCCATTAACACAAAATAAAGCTTTTAAATTTCGTGCGCAAGCCATTTTTAGTTTGCTGGAAAGGAACCCCCTCTGGTTTACAAATTAGCTTTTTTCATTATTCTACATTATGGGTACTCAAGGAATCTATATATAACAGCATGTGCTCCACCTTTGAATTTACTATATGAGTAAATTCTTTATTAAACACGTCCGAATTTATCATTATGATAAATTCGCCGCGGCACATTTTTAATTTATCATAATAATAAATTCGCGGCACCTAACACTAACCCCAACCCTAACCCCTAACCTTTTCAACTAACCTTTTCAACTTTTTAAATTTTTTAAATAATTGTATATACAGCGCATTATGTCTCAAATATTCCCCCTCCTTTCCGTTTTGTGGTATCATCATATGTTTCAGATTTTTATTTACTAAGTTTTAAGCTGAACGAGTTTCATATTTTTACATATCAGGTTTATCACGTCAGTTAATTCATGTTTCAGATTTTTTATACTAGCGGTTTTTACTAGAGTAGGGCGTTCTACAAAGTTCAAGTATGATTTTAAAAAGTCTGAGCTACGGATTATGAAATTTGTGATTGCTCCTACATTTGTGCGTGAGAGGGGATCACAAAGATTGTACGCGTGGGTGGGGTATATTGCGCAGGAGTCGGTGAGTTTAGGAAAAATACCAAATAGGTTTTAGAATCGCAATCTTACGTACTTCAATATGAGAATTGTTCCATGCAGCTGTGTAGTTCGCACGTGATCACATATTTGAACCGTCCTCCGCATACACATAGCGAAGGGTCATTACTTTCCTGACTATATATACAGAACGTCACGTCTCAATATATTTCCCCCTTCTTTACGCATGTGGTATTACTATGTTAGTTTTAAAAGAAGTTTCAGATTTTATACTGGATGAAATTATACTAATATATTGATGATATTTGACTGACTGATAAAAAGAACCAATAGATTGCTTTGGCGAGTCAATAATTTTGGCTGATATATAGGCTAAAATGGTGACGTCATGTTTTATTGTAATATATATATGATATATACGAGGAAACAAAAGCTTATGCAAAAAATGTAGTTTTACAACCACTAATCTTTCTGAAAGAGCTTTTAGGTGGTGAAATGCACTTGCCAGCAGTGCCGCGGATTTATTACAAAATATAATTCGTACAAAAATACAAATTCCGAGCTACAATTAAGGATAAGTTAGTTCAATTGCAATCTGTTCAGTACAAAGTCAAAGGTAAGTTGTTTTGAGTTTTCACAGTCGACTGTGAAACGGCACACTGCCTTACGTTGAAATACACGTTCTTATCAATACACCCTTTCGATAATTACGTCACAACTACACTGTTTTCAACTTAGGATCATCTTAAATGGAAATAATTTCAAGTTTTTTTCTCTTGGGCTATCCACAGAGAAGCAGAACATCCTTCTTCAACACATGCATGCAAAATATTTCTTTATTTTGACCAATAAATGTGGAAATAAGCTTTAACACGAAAACGAGGCTCCAGGTCATGACCTGCATGGAGCCTCGTTTTCGTGTTAATGCTTGCTTCCATATTTATTGATTAAAATCAAAAAATGTTTTTCGCGCATGTGTTGAAGATTGAGGATGTTCTGCTTCTCTGTGCATAGTCCATGAGAAAAAAACTTGAAATCCTTTCCATTTAAGATGGTCCTAAGTTGAAAATAGTATAGTAGTGACGTAATTATCGAAAGGGTGTATTGCTTTGAATTTTTCATACAAATATTTTACACTCGAAATTTCCATCAACCAAACGCTTGAACAATTTTAAAGAAACAATAGTTCTACCAATATCAAAGAGAAAAATAAATATAAACATAGTAATAATCATGCATATATATAAAGATAATAATAAATGTCGAGTCAGATGCCCATAATCCTGATAATTAGCAATACACCTTTCTCTTACTGTAATATTCTCTATGTTGTTTACAACCTACGGAGCTAGGTACAAGTGATTGAGGTACAAGTTCTGTGTTTTTGGCTTGCAGAGTTTCTCAGTGAACCTTGATTGGCTTCAACAAGAAGATAGCGCCCTGAACTACGCCGGAGAGGAATTCATGCGATAGTATACAATCATAAATTTCTGATTTAGGGACTGGTCATAAAGTATAACTGCTAGGGTGGGCTGGAGGGAAATCACAAATTGTTTGGTGACCCATCTTAGGATGTAGATAAAAATTTCAAAGCCCATCTAATCTTACCAAATTTATTTCATGACCCACCCACCCACCTAATCTAAATTGGGAAAATACATTTTTATGATAAAAAAAAAAACTTGCAGTTATGCATGAACATTGTAAATATACAAGTTTGACCAACACATTCATCACCAGTTACGATACTGCATGAGCTGCTCCCCTTTTTGTTGTATTTGCTGTGATTTGACCATTTCTTGCATGTTGTTGTATAAAACAAAATACTGGCTTCAATAGCATCATTTGCATTTGATAATTTGGATAGTTTTGTTTACTTTTATTATTAATATATTTATGTAATGTATAATTAACATGGATTTTTATTTGGTGGCCCAACCGTGGACGGTATACCACAAAATTGGCGGCCCATCGAAACTGCCGAAAGATTTTTCATGGCCCATCCCAAATCACTCCAGTCCACCCTAGCAGTTACTTTATGACCGGTCCCTTATATCCTAAAAAATTAAAACCACTTCAATAAATTATAATGTGCATAATACAGGAAGCGATTTTTTTGCCAATTGTAAATATGGGTTCAAGCAAGAAGTGGTTACATTGGTTATAAAGCTGACAATGATTCGTATCATGAATACAGTGAAACTAAGTATTAATTTTTGCATTCGCTGCTTTCAGCCAGCACGCCACTGGCCTACTATATAGTGTCCCCTTTAATTGTCCGAAAAAACAGTGAGCGTTATATTTTCCCGTCACGTATACACCGGAATATGACAAGTAATTAAAAATGGTTTTTCAAAAAAATTCGATTTCCATTAGCTGTTAAGCGGTCGCCAAAGCAGATTGTTTACAAACTAGTCGTCCCAACTACAGATTGAAAAGAACTGTCTGGCTCGTCATTGCAAATGCTTTCCTTTTCTCGGGATAGCACAACGGAATTAGTACCCTCGTCCGGTGAACATTTTAACTGCAAATGCAAAAGCCCACAACTTTGATCAAAATTCCTCTCTGGAAACATGGGAAACGTTCTTCTGAGGCTTCGAAAACGCAAGATTTTTCTGAAGACCATGCCATTAAGCTGCACCCTTAGTTGAACCCCCCAATAACATTTTTTTTCCGACGGCACTCTGATCTCCCCTAGCGACAGCAATCTCGCTTTCTGCTCGACCTAAAATACTTCTTTGCACGCTTAAGTGCATGCGCATGGCGTCCTTTAAATCTTTTGTGGCATCAGCATATGACTTGCGACTGCCCTTGTCCAGTGCGTAAAATTGGCTACTATATAAGCTCCATCCATTTGCCTCTGCGCAAGATCACTTCACGAACCCCGTTCAAACTTTGAAGGTAGAATTGTCGCCATATTCGAGGTTCGATCGATCTATCTCGTTGCTGCGCACCACATTTATAACTAGCTGAACTTAGAGCTTGAAACAGACACGTATATTTTTTTATCCAGTGGAGTTATTTTAATTTCGTGCTCTACTACTCTACATTCTCATGTTCTCAGGTTACTATCGCCATGGTAACTATCTATCAACGTAACTACGTCGGCATTAAATTGTTTGCTATCCGACTCCAATTACAACAATAAAATGCTATGTGCAAGGGAAAATACCGTTTTCGTTGTTGTATAAAATATATATGCATTGTATTAAGTGTATTATATAAAATAACGAATTATACACTAACAGCATATTTCCATGGAGAAATTCAATGTTCTGTTAAACGAAATAAGTCGTGATTTGAATCCAAAGGACTTGGAAGATCTCGTTCACATCTGTAGGATTGAGGAAAGTCGTAAACCCACCATAACAAGTGGTCACCATTTGTTTACCCATCTTCGTCATAAACGTCGCATTAGCGAAGAAAATGTTGATTACTTGAAGCACATCCTAAATGCCATACACAGACGTGATCTTGTTTCTCTTGTCGAGAGGTTTGAAGGTCTGGAAACATTAACAACGGATTTTGGCCGAATTATCGCAGATGTTAAACCTGAGCTATAAAGGGAAAGTACATTTATTATGCCGAGGATGAAGATGTTGGGGGGCACCGAAATATTTTCTGGCATTAAAGGGAGCCCTGAAAGTTCTCGATATACTGAAGGGGCTCTAAACTTTAAAAGTTTTGGTCCAGCAGGGGCCTGGAGTGTTCACTCCCACCATAGTTTATAGAATAGATGGTTTGGAAACTCGTTAGAATAACAATATAACTCATTACCTATGTTAGTGAACAATAACATTCATAGATTTGGTCTTTTACCGTCACGTGAGTATTGGATTTTTGCCCGACTAACCAAAAGCAATGTTTTAGGAAAGTTACCTATCCATGACTCGAACAATAGGGTAAATTGAAAATTGCTATTGGTGGACATGGCAAGAATATAATACATATGTGACGGTGAAAGAATATATTTATGAATAAACGTTGACTAACATAGATAATATTGCTATTCTAATGATTTCCAAACTGTCTATTCTATATTAACTGACATGGGGGAGCAATGGGGGGAGCTCCACATGGAATACGTAAAAGAAGGCTGCAACACGCCTGTCAAAAATGCATGCAAAAGCACCAATATGCTTCAACTTCTGAAATTTTCATTCTGTTTCTACCAAATTTTCCATGAATATAGAACATATCGTTCTTACAAATCGTATTTTTTTTTGTTTTTGGAATTGTTACTTTTTGGTGGGTAAATTTCGGCGCCAAAAATTGAAATAAGCTATTGGTGATTTTACTGAATTGTATAGCAGACCAAGTGTACTTTAATTAATTAAAACTGAAATCTGTTTCTAAATACAATCATTTTATGGGAAGATATAGCGATACAAATGTCGAACAATCTGCCATATTGTTACTAAAAATAGAACAAAATGGCAGATTTTTAGAAATTTAACTAGTCATTACATCTTCGCAAGGAATGGTTGTCAGGGACGTAGCAACTGGGGGTTGTGGGAGGAGGGTGTAAAACTCCCCCTACTGTGAAATTCAGGCAAAAATCATGTAAAATTCAAGTTAAAATTGTGACATTTTCAGGTAAAATTTGCGTAATAAAGTAACTTTTTTTGTGAAATATATGATAACCATTTTTGTAAAATACAGTCCATTTACATGCAATTTGTTTGCGAATTTGCTTTAGAAAACGCCAGAAATTCAGTCCTAGAGCTTCAAAAATGTAAAAATTTTCTGGGAGAGGACCCCCAGACCCCCCTTTTCTCCTAAAACTTAGTATGAGAGTGCCAATCAATCACAAAAAGCTTTATTATAATTATTACACGTATAATGACTTGGTATCTACTGACTTGAACACAGGCTTTTGCACTTTTGCACGTGGACATAATGGTTATGAGCAATGGAAAGTATAATACAAGATTGCTGCAAGAATCTTCAAACATTTTTAATTTCTTAAAAATTCTTTCAAAAAGATTTCCTTAGATTTTTCAAAAATTCCTTAGATTTCCTTGATTCCTTACTCCTATTTATGGTTAAAATTTCCTTGAAAAAGGAAATTTCCTTGAAATTAAAATTTGTGCTTGAAACCGTCCGGAGTGGCCGAGACGGGGGGGGGGGGGGAACTCGCACACAAACGTGTAGAGCCACTTTTCAAAAGTCTTTTGCATGTCGTTCATTCGATCACATTTGCCAGAAGGAGAAAAATCGCCGACAGAATTGATAGTGTGAACCAGGCTTAACAAGTAACAATTACGTAATTTGTTTCCCTCAGTAATATTACGTAATTTTACTAAAAATTCGTAAGGCTCTGCGGAGGAGAGTGTGGCCGAGAAACTGTACAAAAACCTTTCCTTGCCTCAAAATGAGCGCCATAAACTTTTAAAACATGTTTTATGAAATCGAACTTTCAAAATTTTGCCCGAATCGTATTTTTTTTAATTGTGCCATAGCAGCCCAATGTTATGGTTGCCTGCCTGCGCGCGGGCGAGTCGTTGTATATAGTTGTATTATTTTCTGCTGATTATGTATATAGTTATTCACTTGCAATTTATATAATATTATAATGTGTATATAGTTATTCACTTGCAATTTTCGTCCACTATAAAATCTTAAAATTACAAGCGATTAAGCGAACTTCAGTAAATTCGCTGCATACCTGATACCTATTTTTATACTTTCGACAACTTGTGCATCCTTTGTACTGTCGAGCATTCTTTTATAAACACCTTGCCCATGTTTCCATCTATTTCTTGCAACACTAATATCAAACCTTACCTAAACACAGTTTTTAATTCAGTAATCGTTATGATTAGGCCTGTTTCAATGGATTAGGAATGCATTAGGCACAGCATGAGCTCCACCTTAAGCTTTGAATTTACTATATGAGTAAATTCTTAAACACGTCCGATTTATCATTATGATAAATTCGCGGCAAATTTTGAATTTATCATAATAATAAATTCGCGGCACCTAACACTAACCCTAACCCCAACCGCAATCCCAACCCTAACCACTAACCCCTAACCACTCACCCCTAACCCTAACTTTTTTAACTTTTTAAATTTTTTAAACTTTTTTAACTTTTTTAAAAATCTAACTTTTTAAACTCTTCTTGCTTTTCAAAACTCTTTTAAAAGTTTTTAAAACTTTTTTAAGAACTATTTCTAAGAAGAATTTACTCATATAGTAAATTCAAAGGTAGAGCTCATGTTGCAGAAACAATATAGTGAGGCATTCCTGCTGATTAGGAAATAATACAACTATATACAACCGAGGGGTCCGACACGGCTGAAATCTCGTACAATCGACTCAGAAATCAACAGAAATCAAACCCGAAATCAAGAGATCACGAGAGAAATTAGTGAATTTTGAAATCAGAAATCATTCAAATCACTAAAACTTTGTTATTATTGAGCCCACAGTCTTATATGACAGCGGTAACTCACAGAAATCAGGAAATCGTGTTAGAAATCAGGGAATCAGGTCAGAAATCACGTTAGAAATCAAGAAATCGCATTACAAACCAACAGATATCCGTTTAGAAATCAACAGAAATCAGATTAGAAATCAAGAAATCAGGTTAGAAATCACGTGATTTCGAAATCTTGTACGCTTCATGTGGCCGTGTCGTACCCCTCGTATACAACGCCTCGCCCGCGCGCAGGCAGGCAACCATAACATTGGGCTGCCTATGATTGTGCTTGAAAGCGTTGGTAAATTTCAGGAACCTTTCTGTTTATCAATATGACCGTTATAAATTTGTTAAATCATGAATTTTCGAATTCGTTGAAATTTTGCCAAAAAGTTAAGAGGTGTCCATGCAGACCGGCATCATTTGATGACTACCCTTTGATCGGGAAATGTCCAATAACTTTCCTTGAATCCGCAGAATGATCGCCGTTCTAAAATTGCTAAAGCAGGCATTTTTGAAATTTCGAAATTTTGTTGGAATCGCAAAGAGGGACAAGAGACATCCCCTGACCCCTTGAATTTTACACATTGGTGTACGGGAGGAAAAGATTAAGGAGGCGTACAAAAATTGCCCGACATTGATGGAAACTGCTCGACTTTATCATTAAAGTCAATCTCAAAAAGACGAGAAAAAAGAACTATTAATGATTGGGATTGAAATTTGTTTCATTACATGCAGGACCGTAGCGGCAAACTAGGTCGATTTGTATAGGATAAACACCGAGAAGGAGGGATTTATGTCAGATAATGACGACGCAGCGTCAGAGGGCATTATCATTATGTGACATAAATTATAAATCCCGGCTTTCGAGGTGTTTATCATATTTAATTCTTGATTGAGGAGGTTTTCCAACAAAGTTTTGTCTGTTTCGTCTGCTTTGAACGACGAATTTCTGAGTTTACCTTCATCTTTTAAGCTAATTAATATTCAAGGTGATTATTTAAAATAGTCACCTCGGTACATGAAAGAAAACCGACTCAATCAAGAATTAATTAAATAGAATTTGCCCGACCAAAATCTGGACTAGGGATGTAATCCCCCCCCCCCCCTCCCCCGTATACCTGTATATGCGGTTGCAATGTTATTAAGGCTGTTTTAGTTCTTTAATTATTTTTGATCCAACGAACGACTGTTATATATAGAATCAATAATTTTTATTCAGCGACTTAATTAATATAATAGGGAGTTTTAATATTTTGGATAAAACATGTACTCAGTCAGCGATTTGTAAAACACGGACTGAGTCCATGTTTTACAAATTACTGATTGAGTCCATGTTTTGCGAGACCAGCCCAGTGCATGTTTTATACAACGTTAACATGCCCGAAAAGTTGGGCCTCACATGACATGTGTCACAAATGTTTTTGATCACTTTTTAGTGGTCAAAAGTCGATAAAGGCTTCTTTGTTTTGATTAAATAATAATAATAATTATATTTAATATTTTTATTGCGCAAATTTACATGTTATAGTATATGATCAAATATGCGCATAACCGTCATAAACCGCCCTGGACCGCTTACGAAATGTTTGGAGTAGTTTTGACATAAAATTTTAACTTTTGAAAAATCAGTCGACGTTATAAGTGAATACACACTTCCTCAGTTAATCATAAACTTTCTTATATGACATATATATTATAATTGATATTTGTAACTATACTTTTAATGTTGTTAGATAGAGTTTGATTAGATTACGTCATAAAGAACTCAAAGTGAGATGCGTTTTTCTGCACGCGCGCAGTTGAATTAAATATTAATCTTGAGGCTTTATCTTCACCGGATGACACGAATTATTGCGAGACGAATAGTCGGAATAGATGTGTAAGATGCTATATTCAATATGTTACATATTGGACTACATTTCATGATGATCATGCATATTTAATGCATCGCTCAGGTGTAATATAAAAATGAATAGATGTTCAGCAGGAAAACGAGAGTCGGAAAGAAAACTGAAATGTGACCATCTGTCTCAAGTTAAGCGTGATCTGAAATTATTTGAGAAAACTACGTTAAAACCTGTGTCAACTTTTGTTAAGAACACATTACCTAGTCAACAAAGTAAGCAAACGATTTTAATTGCGAACTTTAGAGTAAAGAATTGAATGTTGTTATCATTAAAATTTCTGACTGACATAAGCAGCTGCAACTTTGTTTCATGCAGTTGATATTTTTCAAGACAGAATTGTTGAGTTAGACTTAATAGCTTAGAGTTACCAGGAACAAGAAAGTATTTAAAATAAAGTATCAAGGCAGGGAATTAAATTTTATATAGTTTACTTAATATGCCTTGATTAAACAAGAATGAGTGGTGACTCTTTCCTGAAGGGTTTGGGTATACGAGTAATTCTGAATTTCTGTACGTTGATGAGAGTTGACTCATGGATACTACAGCTCAAACGAACAAAAATTTTCACTATTACTCATCAAAATTTGAACCAGTTCAAAGTCGATGGGGGCTGATGAGAGTGTGTGAGAGTCGATAAGGGTTAGCAGTCACACGCAAGCGAGAGTTCTATCTCTTATCAACCCTCATCTTCCCTCATCCTCGTTTGCTACCGGGGCTTTAAATGCTATAAAGCTATGGACGGTATCCTTAATTGTGCGACAGAACTGGGAGATTACCCCGAGAAAGAAGAAGTGAGGGAGCTAAGCTAAGGGCTAATATATAAATGACCAAAATAACCATGCAGTAAGTTGGTGCATGTATAATGTTAAATCTTCTCCAAAACGCAAGGAATGCCATTTCAGAAGCTCTAGATTTCAGAATATTCTTGTTCCCCGGGAACGGTAGACTTTGCCAGACCCCCACGCTCTTCAACAACCCAATCTTCTTGCCGGTGCCATCAATTCCATCTGCTGAGGACTGTAGAAGAAATAGAATTGAAAGTAACTTCCTTCTTGTCAGTTTTCTTATCACGAATAAAGTTTTTTTTAAAAGGAAAACGCTTTTGTGCAGTGTGCCTGTATAATTTAGAGCGCAAAAAATTTGCATGAACATGTAATACAAAAGTCAACACTCTTTGTCCAGCACAGAGTCTTGACACTGCTAACGTTTCTCCCCAGTTCACGCAACTTTGGATTATATCCTGATGCTTGCGTTGTAAACTGCTTGCGGTAATTTCAATTAGCAAACGTAATAATACAATGTCCACTGCAATTTGCAAATTTCTATTAAAAAATGGAAATCAGAATACTAAGCAGACGGCGAGTGTTACGTTTCGATTCGCTCGCATCTCTCCTGGACTAAATAGACTGTTCTTGTAAAAGCAACATGGATAATTAAAATAAATAATTTTATTTCTGAGTTTCAGTAAGGCCATGCATATATCATTTAACGGCTGGTCATTCCAGAAGGAAGCAGTGCCTTTCTTTACGTCATCAGCGCCTTAAATGGCATATGAGTAAACACTATATTCATGAATTATGTTGCCTGACATTTTGCAGTCGCGTTGAGTTCGAGGCAGCACTTTCCTTATCAAAAAGGCGACGTGAAAATGGCGTGTTGTGCCCATGTATGGACTCGCGCCATTTTGACGCCATTTTCACGTCGTCTTCGACGTCCGCGTCCTCGATCTAAATCTGTCTAATCATATGGTCTAATATAGCCCGGATCAAACGTGGATGAGAGCGCATGACAGTTGGCGATCAAGCGACCTTGGGAAGCCGTTCTCATGCAATGCTTTAAATTAATCAACTCTCATACTTGTCTCACCGGGGCACTCCTATAGTCACTATTAATATTTTGCGCTGGAATATTGTCTTAACTAAGCTGGAGTGGAACTGAAGAAGAAATAATAGTATTGGTATAATTTTAGTTCCCCTCCATCCAATTAATAAACACAAGCTGTTTTCTTCTTGTTTATATAATATAGCTATCAATCAAGAGAAGTCCAGCCTTATATATGGCATCAAGAAAGAGAGAATGAAGTATAACTTACCATGAGAAGAATTAAAATATCATGCGGACTACGCTGTAATCAGTCAAAATGACTTATAATTACATAACATAAATGGTACTTCGCTACACCAATTATCAAGTGGAAAGGTTTTATTTGACTTCCTCAAAATACATGACATGTCAATTACTATAATATTTCAAAGACATTGACAAATAATATAATTCATGTTCATCTTCTTAGCCTATAGAAATAGATTTTAGAGCTTTATTCTTTCGGTATATACTAGAAAATTCAACTCCATGAAATTTACAATATATATTTCTGTCTGTAATTTGTATTTCAATATACCAGGAGCGGCTCAACCAGCAGGCTAAGATGCCCCCCCAGCCACGTGGTAATAATATCGCTCATTATTTAAAATTCAAATGCGGATTTTTGTAAAATTGAAATCCGTATGGATGGGACAAATGGAAACAGTGCTTATCTACGAAAGGAGTCTTGAAATAAGTCTTTTTCAAGACTAAGTTCTTAAAATTGGGGTAGCTACAATTAAATTAAATGTCTGTGCACCATTTAATCTGGACCAGCCAAAGCCAGGGCTATAATGCCTTCTGAATGGGCGAGTTGCAATTAACCTATTGAGATTTATAAGGCAAAGATTTTGCGACATTGTTGAAGCTAAACACGTTCCAAATACAATAGCTGCTAATGAGATTCTTTTGGTAGCGTTCCTTGAACGCCATTACGTCAAGTGATGAAGTGCAACCTAAGAATTCCATCTCAAAAATTAATAGACTACCTTGGTGCCCTCGCCTGCTCCACCCACTTTTAAAAAGGCTCAGCGGTCCCTCTGTTATACTGAATCTGTGACATCACAAGCTGTGACCGGGTGTTCGAGAGCCGATTAGAATTAATTCTGGGTTAGTGTTGAACGTCAATCTCAACTCAGCCACAGATTGTTTATAAACTTGGAAATATTTTTCCAAAAATCTTTTCTGGATCAATAGACGTTTTGATTTTCTGAAGTTTGCATAGAAGAAAGTCTTTTATTAAGATTTATGAAGTAAAGTTTATGAATTCACGGCAACAATATTATAACATATGTATCTTGAACTATTTTCCGAGTTTAATTGTTTGAGGGGTGTAATTAATTTTACTGACTTAATGCAGTGTAGCATAATGTGTCTGGAGATTGGTATATGCATGGTTAACGAGGGTCTCCTAGGGGGAAGTCTGTGTTCCTTTGTAAATTTTTCCTTTGCTCCCTTCTTCCCCACAAAGATTTCACTATCCTCCCTTGTTATTTTTTTACTTTTGTTCCCGTGTTCCTATTGCAAACCATGACCTGTTCCCTTGTTCTCCGGAAACCCCTGGGAGATCTCGTTCATAGCGCTCTTCGTGCACATTTATAGAGTTCGAAACAAGTGATGCATAGTTTTCAATCAATCCCGGGAGATTTACAAGACAAAGATATGGTGTCCATGTTGGAGGAAAACATGTTCCAAATACAATAGCTGCTATGCTATAATTAATGCTGATGCATGTTCTTTTGTTAGCGTTTCTACAATAGAGACCTGACGATGTGGGACGGCAACGTGACGACGACGGCTATTCATACAATGAAATTCATAATATTTAAGAACAAAATGAGGCGTCATCCACGTCTTGGATATAAAACAGCTGCATTTTAAAATTAGCTCAGTACTACAGTAGAACTTTCTCAACAATAAAGCCACTATTTCAGCAAACCAAACAGTATTAAATTGATACGATCAATAATAGTCTACAAACGTTCTTGACAATCGTTTATTTGAATGACTTTATTCTGTCCTTCGTGGTCGCGTTGCCGTCCTACATCGCAAGGTCTCTACTATGGCTCCGATAACGTCAAGTGCAAACCAAGAAAAGACGACAAACTTAACTTGCATGATATATAATAGACTTGTATTATCAGGCCTGCATTATTTCCGTCGTATTTAATTCGTTGAATTTAATGCTGACAAGCCAAAATTCAGACGCATTAAATTCGACGTCTAAAAACAGTCCTTGGATGTTCCGTAGACAACCATATCAGATGGATTCTTTATTCGCTACTAGCTACACGCGTGAAAATCTCACAGGTTGTCAACACGATGCGTCTGCTTGTTTCCACTGTTGTCATGTGTGGAAGAAGTTGTTGTCATCTTGTAAAAAAAGTTCATGAAGCCAACAGTACTCGCAACACGTTGTTCTGACAAGTCTGAAATCGACTGCGCGTAACACGACGTGATCACGTTGTTTAACAAGTTGATGACAACAAACACCTTATGTAACATGTTACGAACAGCCTGTATTAAGGCTGCGTTAATACAGAACGCGTTTTTATACACACGGAAAAGTTGAAACCTTTCTCAATTTAAGACTAGTATGAATTACCTGTATAAATGCACATTAAATCATTCACAAAACTATATGCTTTCCTTTTATCCATTCAGTTATTTCATAAGTAACATTTAACAATTATTCGCCGAAGGCGAGGTGATTATCGGGGAAAATTCAAGCCTGAGGCGAATAATTGTTTTAGTATTTTTACGCAAGTCTTTTGTGTTTTTTTGGAACTTGAATTTATTTTAATTTTGTTTAATTTCGCTTATTTCTTTATCAACAAAACGGCTAGCCGCCATTTTGAAAATTTCGGTTTTGTTATAATTATTCACCTGTAGGTGAATATAACGGCTTAATACATCAAATTTGACCAATCAACTTGTAGGATTTGTTATATTCACTTGTGCAAAAATACTAATTAAAGATATTTCAACTTTTCCGTGCGTATACGCACGTATGAAAAACACGTGACTGGAAACCAGGCTTTAGGCCTGTTCGGACAATTTGTACTATATCTAGATCTGTTACCGTCATCAACCTTTCAGCAAGGTGACAAGAACTTGTTGGAGACTTGTCACAACAACTGGGACAATCAATGCAAACACGTCCCGATATCAGCTTGACAACAACAATGTTACAACTTGTTTGCAAATCTATAACAAATTTGCGCGTTTTTACGTGTGTAAACAAAGAATCGGTTGGGACACGTGATCTGAAATGGTCAATTTACATTTAATTGTGAACCAAGCTAAATTTTTCTATCCCAACTGCATGAATTTGCTATTATACTTTTATTGTCAATATCTTTAATTTATCTAACTGTAATTCTGAACGGAACAGTGGATACATATATTTATTCAATATTGAACTCTTGCGTAATAGTAACAAATGATGCATGGGCAACAGAACATACACATGCCAAGAACAATATAATGAATGGTAGTGAACCAGAATGCGAACAGGTAGGCAACACGGCTACAGTAAGAGGGCCCGTTGCTATCGTGATACTGCACATCAGAGAAATGGCCATAAACCCATACGCTGCCCACTATGAACCAAATAACGAGAAACAGATCAATAAAGAAAAGAAAGACATTGAAGAATCGTATTGTATCCACATCCTTTTCCGTATCGATTTCTTCATCATTTTTCGTACCGACACGTAGACAAGTGGTGACTGTATAGCGAAGTAAATAGACTGAACCATGAACAATCAGAAATACAGGAATCATACGTTCAATACGACATTCGTCCAAGTACACAGCACCTGAAAGAAGAAGATGATGGCTAAATGGGATGGACGAGAGGAACGTTTTTAAAATAAACACAAAGTTTGCTTTAGTTAGGGTAATGTTAGCGTCAGAATTGGGGCTAGGGGAGTGTTCATTAATTATGTCGGGGGGTGTGGTGGGGGTGACTTAGGGGGCTCTAAGATTTTCTAACACAGATGAGGGGTCTTAAACCTTAAACATTGAGTGCGCAAGGTAAGAATTGCTATTTGGAACCTAAGATTGGACATTAGCTTAGTGGACCAAATAGCCCCACATCGAAAGTGTTCATTATATATGCTTTTGGATTGTTGCAAGGCAAAGTTTAGATTAAAGAGACTTCATTGGAAAGGGCAATGTAACTTACTGAGCGGAAATGGGTGAGGAAGACTATAGTCCCAATGTCCATTGATCCATGTCATTACTGATACATTTAATACATTTGCCCGATTGATATATTTGCCTGATTTTCAAGACTCACCTATGACAATGATAGTGATGGGAATGATGTTGAATATTGCCAGCATTACTGTCCAAATTACTAAAATAGTAATACAAAATAAAATAATTAGATCTGTTCCTACATGCTGAATAGCATTAATGTTATACAGCAGGGATAGATCCAGCCAGATCAGGCAGGGGTGGGGGAGAGGGTGAGGCTTATCGAGTTGTGGTCATAGTTCAATGTGCGACCGTTGACCAAGTGACCATTATAGGAGGTAAGGCAGCAAGACACTAGTCTGTAGTCTTGATTGATAACTTCGCAATCATGATACTAACTCACTTTGTCTTTACTTTTGTTTTTGTAATTGCATTTCGAAATCAAAAAGTGGATTTGATGGAAAATTAATTGGCACCCCTTTCTATACCACCCTTCGTAAAGGATAAGAAGGGCGTGCACTCCCCTGGACTCTCCCAGCAAACCCCTACCTGTTATACAATTGCAACGATTGTGTTATGATGAAATAAAAATAATAGATATCATATTATACCGTCAGTAATATGTAGGGCGTATCCATGCATTTTAGGATTACGTATCACACATTCAAGACCAATTATGGACAACAAAATTTAAGTTCATTCGTATTTTAAAACAACTTTTAAAACTATTATGTTAAATGGATTTTACAGATTTTCAAGAGGTTTGCTTTTGTTTTCCAGATATTTAAGTTTGTTAGCATGTATATCAAATATAAATTTATTTGCAGATAATAATGGTCAGGTCAAAAGTTTAATATGTTTGCTTATGATTTAGCATTATTTAGATATTAGCAAAACAATAGTTGATTAATTATTTGATCTGAAAATACTTCTGATCTCGGATAGTTCAATACTGTTAGAGTTGGGCCATGCCCAGGCCATGCCATAGATATCTCATATACACTAGATAGCGCATCCCACCCTGTAGGCAGGCGAAAATTGAAGCCTGATCGCAGTCGCAGTTTACGTGCGGCGGCCATATTGGTCGTTCCCACGGAGCGTGATAATTTGTATATTTTGTATTGCGGAAATGGACAAAGTTGACAATAAATCCTCTTTTATGCAGTCAATTTTGGTTTTTCAAGTGTGCAACTTGTTGTAAATGATGCCAGATCGTTGGAGCTTCATATTGTGAATAACGGGTAGGCAGAATTTAATTTTTTTTCTCGAAAATATCAATATTTGGGGCCATTCCATTTAATGTACACACACCCCTATGGACGAAAATTTCCGAGGGGGGTTGAAAAAGGCATTTCTGAGGGGTTGTGTGCATCGGCATCCTTTGATCTTTGCATTTTTTCTGAGGGGTAAGGCAAAAATTTCTTAATTTCTGGGGGGGGGTTTGTGTCGGCACTTTGATCTTTTTTTCTTAGGGGTTCAAATTTTATTGACCTCGTCCATAGGGGGGTGTGTACATTAAATGGAATGGCCCTTGTCGACCCGTATGAAGGGCGCCCATAGGACAAACCTTATGGACAAACCATCATTGTTGATGTATATATAAATATAGTTCCACCAATTCCAAATAAAACATTTTGAGCCATCGCCATTGCTTCATGGCAAAATTGTGAATGTATTTGCATATTCTTTTGTAAAAGACAGCGACACTGAAAAACATATTTTAGTCACAGTTTATCAATGGCAAAAATAGACTTTAATTATAAAATCTTAAATAGTCAATATATAAAACATTGATACCTAAAATGGTTCTTACTCCTTACTATTTGTATATTTATTACATACATACAACATATCATATATTATTTTATAGTTCCATGGAATCATATCAAGATTAAAATGTGTTAGAAGCTAGAGAAGAATAATTGCAACTTAGTATATTCGCAGGCAATAAAACATAATTGATATTGCTTTATGTAAATGTAGTTGATAATCAAACTTTCTAAAACCTTCAATTGTATGAATGCTTCAAACTATCTTTAATATTTGATGTTAAGAAATATTTCTTTCTGTCGAGTCCTAGACCTTTTGTTTTTAATTCAAGCAATCAAACTGCCAAATTACTGTAATTATTAACAGCATAGGTCATTGATAATCAGCTGAATTTTAGAACTGCTTTGGGAAACCCTATTTTGTAATGAGACACATTACTTCTTGCATTATTGTATATTGTATATTGTATATTGTAAGGTCAATGGGATAAACTGCTTGATGCACAGTAGATTTTATAATCTTAAATATAGTTGCACTCACTATTGTATAAATAATTCTATTGTTATAATAAAGTATTACTTTTGACTTTGTGTATAAATAGTGTTTTGTAATTCTTTGACTCATCAGATGCACAATAATTAAACTTTTCTAAAAAAATAAAATAAATTTGCCAGTACTCTCAGGAATTGAAAACATGATAAACTCTCAATTTT